TTTTATCATATCTCTGACCATGATAGAATTGTCAATCACATAAATCAACACTCTTATCTTAACTAGAGAGGACTTTTACTTGTACATGATCAAACTGTGACAAAGTTTTTAACCCTATCGCCAAGTATGAGTCCAGGCTGGGAAATCACCACACCCTAGGTTGAATTCTCAGTTTAAACAAGCTAGATCATCTGATACTAGTAAGCAGAAAATAAAAAATTACAATTTGAAGGAGAATGGAAACAGATGATTCATCACCCTTTACTTCTACTTACAAATACGGCCGATATTGCCAAGTTGATGCGCATATTATTAACACTAGATTTGGTGAACCTGAAACCATACTAGGATTAAGTGAATATAACAGCATTAACAAATCACAAAATGCTGTAAGAGTAAAAAATAAGATAATATAATAACAGATGAGCATGAAAACAGAAGCACCAATGCAAAATGGAAAGGAAAAGATGCTATCAAAAGAAAAAAAAATCAATGGATAAATTCAATAAAAAAGAGACACCAAGAGGATGCTACCTAAGTACAAATAAATAAGAAAGGTCTAAAAAAATCTGAAAAACCACCTAGTCTACACAAGCATCCTGCTACACCAAAAATCTAATCTGTGATTCATCTGTCTAAGAGTTGTGCATGATGGTCCATCGTGCAATTTCATCATCCAAAGAGTAATTAATGCAGGCTTTAGTAGTTTTAGAGGCAAAATTGACATCTAACAATTACCATCTGAAGTTTTACACACCAATGCAGACAAATATAATAAACAAAGAGAACAATGAACAAGATGGATGTATATGTAAACCAGGCAGCGGCACATGCAACAATTCTGCAGCAGAACGGTTCTATTAGGCTAATCATGAATATTGATAGATTTCAAAACCTTGGCCCCCATGGTACAATAGGCTGCTTATCAGCATATTTGATATCCTTTGAGACCTGGATTTAGAAAAATTGAATAATTAGTATACCAGAAAAAGAGTGATAACAAAATGATTCTTCAGATGCTCTATCTTTCAACAAAGTTTTATATTTTTTTCAATCTCCACTGCTGAAAATTTTGTCATAGTAGAAGTTATGTTTTATCTTGTGCATTGTAAATAGGGATTAAACAAAAAGAATTCATCGAGTGCTCTTCAATCATTTTTATGCAGATTTCAGTAGTATCTTTTTAATCTAGGCCTCGCAGATGTCCAACAACTTTTATGAAAGATGCCCACATTTTACTTGATTGAGAAAGAAAATGATTTTGGATGGGGATAAATTTCTCAGAATTAACATATACAAAAGAAGAAACTTATTGTAAACATATTTCTCCAATTCCTTAGGAAGTAATAGCAACTTTGTTTTACTTTTTCCAAAATTTTCCACCATCAGGTGAACCATGAGTAACTGGTGGATGAATTAAAAGTTAATATGTACAAAAACATATTAATAGTTGGAATTCATTTAGAGTCTATTCTGTCTAAAATCTTCTTAAGTATCTTATTAACTTGATAGCCTCTACAGTTTAATCATGCAATTGGGCTGGATATTTAAAAAATCTGGTTTTTTGGGAGATATATAATTGTTTCTTTTGCAAATAATCATACATCCTAGAAAAGATGTTTTACAAATTTGAAGCTAGTAATTCAAACTATAACATAATATTCATGTCTCAAGATTATTTCTGTAAGAATATTTCTCAAAAAGAAAAGAAAAGAAAAGAAAAGATATGCAGGAATTTTGAGAATGTTATTCCAACTGCAGATTTCAAGTTCTACACCTTTAGATCACACGGCATGACTCGACATGAAAATAATTTTCTTTCAGTTTAACCTATCAACTTAATAAATCCAACAGAAAAGTATTGTTTGACCATACCTTAAAGGAACCAAAAGTCACACCCTTCTTTCGCTTTGTTAACTGGGACAGCATAAGTTTGTCATATGCCTTCTCAAGCTGAAAATAATAGGATACACAGACCAGAAGATTCCAAATGTAAGGACATCTCATTTTCAGAAAAAAGAAAGCTGCATCTATAGAGAATTCTTACGCAGAAAAGGTGCCAATGAAGGCAAGGGCATGAACATTCATATTCAGGATGTGAAGGTCTGTGTTCGTGAGAAAAAAAAAGGGAGAGAAGGAAAAGGAAGAGGAGAGGGAAGGCAGAAATGAGACTGAGATTGAGATTTGTAACCTACTAGAGCAGCAGTAGCTTCATCACCACTCTTCTCAGCATCCTTGAGTCTCCTTGCATAAGTTGCCTTGATCTTATCAAATCCCTCAATGGGGCTCACACCAAGAATCTGTGATGTAACAGAGCTAAAATACATTTAAAAAACTGTCTAAAACTACTTTAAGATGAAAACTCAATAAAATGGAACTACCTCATATGGGTTTAGGTCACTGTCCGAATTTGAACTTCCCGCTGCATATGAAGCAGAACAATTAACCCCTCTATTCTGTGGAATTCTCTTAGGAAATCTGGCAGGTTCAACACCATTGCCACCGTTAGATGTGAAAAAATTAAAATGCCCAAATGGCTACAACAAAGTTTTTCCAAATAAACAATGAAGTTATCACATTTATGATTCATTCTCAACCTATCAAATATATCAAGCCCAAGTTCTCAAGACACATAAGGGGAGGGTGGAAGAGAAAAACTAGCCGTCGGAAGGTAGAATGAGTTATCTGTTCTACTTGATATGGATTTTTCATTTCCTTACGATTCAATAAAACAATCAGCAACAGCTCCCCCACAGAGCTTCAGAAAAGTATTAAACAGCAATAAATTTCAGCTCAGATTACTAATACTACGAGTAGTAAAAATGTAACAACAAGCATTAGCTCCTAAATTTAACAGCGGAAAACAACAGGACATCGTCTGTATCAGCTTACTCACAAACCTGGGAAAACCAAATACACTTCGGTTCCAAATTTTATTTCCCTTTTCCTTTCTTCTCTTGCAGCCAAACACACAACCAGACACATTACAGAAATCAAAAGAATATTATTCACGAGAAGTAAGATTACCTGAGAAATGAAGATGGTAACTTATAATTTGAGAATTTGATAGAAAAATCTCTACGAGCAATTCGGGGATTCGGGTAGAGAAAGGCGTTAGAGATAGCTAAAGCCATGGATAGAATCCTTCTGGTATAATGCGTAAGAGAAGATTACTGAAGATGGTGATGAATTTTTGAGCTTAGGGTTTCTATTGGGTTTTTCTGAAGCCTGCGACTGACGTTGTCGTTGTTCACGTTCGTCATCTTCAATTGCGTCATGGGATTTTTCTACCAAGTAGTCCTTTACACTTTCGCAAATCTTAATTATAAATTTAAATAAAAAATATTAATAATTAAATTATAATAAGTGTGAATTTCATGTATTAAAAAATATATATATATATATATACATATAGAGGATTATATACCTTTTTCTGTTGTATGTGTATATTAATTTTAACTAAATATTTGACAAAATAATTATATTTATTCAACAATGATAATTATCAACATGTTAATTTTATTGTGTTATTACTTTCACTTTCACTTTAGTTATAATATTTGAAACTATCGTTGTATTTTAAACTTTACATGGTCTAATAAATAATTAAAAATAAAAATAATATTTTTAAACAAATAGAAAATAGACTACATAAATTGTGAATAACAACATTTGATCATTACAAAAAATACAATCGAAAATAGAATCAAGAAATTAAAGTTTAAAAATTTAAAAAAATATGTAAATATTCTCGATATATATATATAAATATATTTCTATATTTAGCTATTCCTTTATTTATCATATTTCGTAAAATTTTCTTCTTAATTTAACTAGCTATTTTTATTGAACGAAAACCCGTAAAAACTTCACTCCAATTAACTTACTCAACACGAACTCCTTTCGTAATAGTCTATTATTAGACATTGCTAATGAAGTATATAATCCCAAGAACTCATCTCCAAGAATCCACTCATCTCTTTCCTTTCCGATTCATAGTTATACACAAAATAAAATAATAACAATAATAATGGCGAGGAACTCTTTATTACTGTATTTTATTCTTTTTATCTCTTTCGGGTTCCTCGCAGATGCACATATCAATATAGATTATAACGGAAAGAAGTGCGTTTGCACTTGTAGCGAGTCTGGTGCGGGAGGGCATGATGCAAAGACGAGTGTGTCTGGATCGATAGGAGGATCGTTCACAACAAATCAACAATCAAACACGAAGACTGATGGATCTGCCACAACAGATCAACAAAGGAAGAAGAGCGGTAACGAATCCGCCACGAAAAATCAACAGACAAGTCAGAGTAGCAATGAATCTGTGACGAAAAATCAGCACGCTAGCCAGAACAGTAAAGGCTCTGTCTCGAAAGATCAACAATCAAGCAAGAACGTGAATGTATCTGTCACAAAAGATCAACAAGCAAGTAAGAGTTCCAACGAATCTGCCACGAATAATCAACAGACGAGCAAAAGCAGCAATGAGTCTGTGATAAAGGATCAACAAACCGAACAGAATAACAATGAATCTGCCACAAAAAATCAACAATCGAGCAAGAACACCAATGAATCCGCCACAAAAAATCAACAATCGAGCAAGAACACCAATGAATCTGGTACTAAAGAACAAGATACAAAGAAGGATGCATCTGGTTCTGTTGCCGTAGATAAACAATCAAACGTCCACACCAATACCGATGAACAAGTAAATACAGATGCCAATGGACAAGCAAACACGAAAGGCAAGGGACAAGTAAACATGAATGCAGGTGGATACATTTCCACATATAAACAAGTAAACACAGGTGCCAATGGACAAGCAAACGCGAATAGTAATGGATACATTGCTACTAATACACAAGCTGACACAAATGCTAATGGACAAGGCAATGCAAATGCAAATGGAGAATCAAACATGAATGCCCATGGATATATCTCCACTGGTAACTCGGATGGATTTAATTACAACTACCAATTTGGTCATCAGGGAATGCCAAATGTTGACGTGGGCGCCGCAGAAGCTAAGGGCATGCTCTTCACTGGAGAGTTCTTCGTGAAGTTGGGGTATTTAATAGATGAGTTCAACAAGGGCTCAACTTCATTTCCCATATTTTACCAGAAATGCATGGCCTTGCAAAAAGAATACGATAACAAAACACCACAAGAAGGAGATGTATTCTTTAACGAATTGACCAAAGCTGCTGAGATCGCCATGAAGACAAAGAACACATCATCTTTACAAGCTATGGGAAATAGATATGATGCCGCAATTGTGAAGGTGGGAGACCAAAATAAGGCAAAAGAGTGTCAATTTTCGCAAGTAATACAAGCCCTTCAAAAGATTATGAGTTCAGGTAGTAACGTGCAAACGGCCATCGCTGCAATGTACAAAGAAAAGCTGGCAGCATCTATGTCAAGGAAGATGAAGATGAACATGTATGGGAGCAATGAAATCAAGTTTTAAGTACCAGATGATCACATACCACGCCGGATGGCGATTGAGTTGCTTAAAGATCACTTCTTTTTCTTTTCTAGTTTTCTTATAAATAATGTAATCGGTTAGCTGATTTTGTAGCCAAATATGCTATTTAATCAGGCCTTGATAGTTATTATCAGGATAGAAGAGGTTCCCATAAGAGGCTACTCTCTAGCTTTGTCAGGATTTTTCTCTTTCTCTAGCGGAATTATAATTATTTGTTTCCGCTATTATGGGAAAAGAAAGAGAGATCATACTTTCCTATAAATAAAAAAAAAAGAATATATTTCATTACTTGCAATGTGTAGAAATATTAGAAGAGTAGCATTAATTAAATTACATATTTTATACCATAAAATTTTAATTACACCAATTTACAATAACCTTACACCTGACATAATACTTACAATAACTCACCATACTCTAATTGTGTCAACTAATTACATCTTATACTAAAAAATGTCTATGATTGACTCTTCTATAGTGCACGTAGAATCTTGAAATGAGTTTTCAAATTGAAATGACATAATTGAAAACACTGGAATACTTGAAAACAAGTGGGTGAACCTCCAAGGGACAATAACGACTACCACTGTAATCGTCTCATATTCCTTTTGCAGTAGACCTTGCATATCAATTCTCTTCCTCATTGTTTTTGGGAAAAATGCTCTTTTTTTCCTAGAATAGAGGAGAACAAAGAACAAGCAACCTAAAAACAAAATATTCTGCTTATAACATCAGATAAAGGAGACGTAACGAAGAAAGCGCGTACTTTAACATCATAAGCATACGAAAAGTGAAGTCAGTTTGGCTATATATAGACTTGCCAAAACGAAAACAAAAAATATCAAAGTAATTAAATTTTAGAAAGTCACTACTGATCTTGTTAAAAATGGAATCGGGTTATAAAGAACAATGTTTCGTCTAAATCAAGAATTTGATGTCTAAAATAATGCAAGACAAAAACGTGTGAGGCGTCCAATCGCTAATGCAGACTAGTTAGTTAGAGCTCTAAATTGCATGCATCATTCGTATCCTAATCTATATGAAGTGTGTGATATTTTGATTTTTACATAATTCAATATACCAATCAATATATTAAACTACAGGGCGGGGGAGTTAAAATAATAAAAAAGAAAAAAGAAAACGGAAAAATGGAAGTTACAGCAAATTAATGGTTAGCATTGACCCCGTAATAATTAAAATACAGAAGGAAAATTACATTGACCTAAGACATTTTATTAAAAGTGTAATTTGCAACAGTTGCTATCACCTATCATCTAAGATAAAGTACATTAAGCCATGACAAACAACCATTACTACCATGTATAAGCTTGAAATATGCTCTCTTTACTCAACCTAAATCGAAGAAGTAAATTGCGAAAATATGAGCATAATTTATGACTCTCCACTCCCTTTGATTTAAACACCATGATCAACTCAGAGAACAATAGATACAGCCAAGTATAAGCCGTAAAATGAGTAGACTTCAAAGGAAAAACTGAAAGCAGAGGCAACACAAAAACTGAAAACATCCATTTCCTTTTATGGAATTTTCACAAACAGGTTCAAGTAATCATTTTTTTCAAAGTTGAAATACATTGATCCACAAGTTAAAAAACCCATATAAAATTAACCATCGGAACACGAACCCAATTCCACCACTAAATTATCTGAGACCTAAAGGAAAAGCATCCCAAGCATTCCCAGACAGCATCAAAACATATCCTGATATAACATTTCACAAGAACCAATATGCTACTGAAAAGAAACGACAAGAAACAGAAAATCGGAATGAAATAACAAAATATAGATGATAAAGTCATTTAGCCATAAGTATCAAATGTAAAAATCATTAACTCTATTTCTTCTCAAGTTCAAACACAAGCTGGAAAGAGGAGAAAGGATGTGATTTAACCTTCGTGAATCATAAAGAGCCGGAACTGTTTTCTCAGTCTCTTTTCTACAACCTCGGTTTCCTCTCCTTTTTCAACTTCCCTTTGTGGTCTGGCTATGAGGAGCCTGAAAACGTAACAGTTGAACCATGGGCTCATCCCGAGAATCCACCTGAGAAGCTAGCAGAACTGTGACCTCACCCTGATTCTAATGCTGACCGGCTCATGAATTCAGAGTGTTCACTGACGTGTTTTCTTTTTGATGGCTTTGGTTTCTCATCGACCCCAGATATCGAACTTCTGTGTTTGCTACTGTGTATAGAAGCTGGATCAATCCATGCAGACTCCGAGCTTCTCAGCCAACTACTCTGCGTAGGAGTTGATAAATTATGATACGAATTTTTCAGAGATGCTCCAGTTGAATATCACTTGATATGGTATATATGTTGATAAACCAATCTAATTAATTTTATATTATGATCAAATAAATCATGTTTAATAATTATATTGCACTTGTATACCATATTAAGTGATACTTAATAACAGATTATGGTCCTATGATAGGATAACGGATTCTATTTCTCAAATAAATAAGTGAATATTAATACATTTTCAATAACTAAATTGTATTTATACTAATAAATTGTAATCAATAATAATAAAAAACACCGAAATTCTTAGAAATGTAATCTTAATTTGGAAAGGAATGAACTGTGGGGGTTGGATTAAGACTTTGTTCATAATATGAGGTGAGTACTTGGAGGTATTAAAATGGCTTGTAACTTCAATGTAAAGCGAAAACTCGTTAATATTTTCCAATTTCATTAAATTCAATGGAAAACCGCTAAAATCTCCCTAACCAAATCTATTATTGACATTGTATAGAGGTGTATATGTATCTATATATATCGCAAGAACTCGTAAGTAAACTCACTCCTCTCTGTCTTTTTTAAAAAAATTTATTTAGAAATATAATTTTTGAAAATATCATGGCGAGGATATCCCTCTTGCTCCTCGCCATCTCTGCAACTTACCTGTTGGCGGCGGAAGCAGCCGTCGATGTCGGAGCCACCGTCGTTCTCGGACCATTATCTCAAAAGGAAGCCTCTGGCATCGTCTACTACACAGAGTTCGTGGTGAGAATCGACAAGCTGGTGAACGAGCTAAGCACGGGGCTTCAAATACCAGAGTTCTGGCTGAGACTGATGGACATTATCCGCGAGTTCGATCGCAGCGCTTCGGTGGAAGCGAAGGAGTATGACAAGGCGTTGACAACGGCGATCGACAAGATGCAGAAGATCAAGTCTAACGAAGGGCTGGAAGCTCTGGAAAAGCAATACGACGCCGCATTCGCGAAGGCGACCGGGTTTGAAGGGGCAAAGGTGCATAACTTTAAGTATTTAGTGACGGTGATCGGAAGAGTAATGGTGATTACAGAGAAGATCCAGAAGGCGTTTGCCGCTTTGGAGGTTGATTTGCTTAAAGGATCGACGGACACGCAGGTGAATTTGACGGCGAGCACGCCGATCAGGAAGTTGCAGATGATGAGAAACTAATTACAGAGAGAAAAAGAGAGAGAACAGGGATGGAGCCATGAATTTAATTTATTATTTATTATTATTCATGACGGGAGGAAATTAATTCTGCTTTTAACTGATTAATCATTTCGCAAAGAACATTTCAGTTAATTAATGCAGAATTTTTTCTTAATTAATATTCATTAAGATAGTTAACTATTAATCATCTTCATTAATATTTATTGCTACTTTTATAACAAGATAATTAACTATTTAAACATAATGATAATTGTATTTATGATTAATCAAAGGGGAAAAAATAAAAACAGCGTTCACGGTGGGACTCGAACCCACAATCTCCCGCTCCGGAGGCGAGCGCCTTATCCATTAGGCCACGCGAACTTTTTGTTAAGCTTTTCTCACAATGTAATATATTTCTTATTCCCCATTTAAAGAATAATTAAAAAAATATTGCCCATAAAAAGCCCAAATTGAACGGCGAGAAGTCAAACCGGAGGCTCATAAAAAAACCCGACCCGGCCAGATAAACCAATTCTTCTGCTTTTCTTCTCTTATCATTTGCTCTCTCTTTTTTATCTGGAGATTTCACAGTCGCTTCCTTACCCAGGTGAGAGGGCCTATGCGCTTATCTCGCTCACCATACTGCCATTTCTCCTCTGCAAGTCGCAGTTACCTCGAATTCTCAACCGGTAGCCAACGTCCACCTCCACCAGCAACAATCTCGAATTGCCGCTGACTGTACCGTAGTTCCGGCCGGCTGCCAATTACTTACTCAGTACCGTTTCTCTTGTCATATCTCTCGGCTGTCTTCATTTTCATATCCACGCAGATTGCGTCAAGCATCTTCGCTAGTGAAGGCCTCTGTCTGGAACCGTCAACCGTTCTAACTACGGTATTTAGCTGTGTTGATTTGTGGTTGTTGAAATCTTTGTTCCGTCCCGACTGATTCTGCTTTGTTTTGATTTTTCATGTTTAATTCATGACATTTAAGGTACCTAAAGGAAATTTGAGTTTCTAGTGTAGCTTGTAAAGTGTTTGATAAAAAAGTGTCTGATAAGTATACCGCTGATTTGTGGTCGAAAATGAGAATTCTTGCGAGCTCCGGTTGCAGGTGGCTTGGTTCATTTGTTCTTCTTAGTGCATTGCGTATAATATTTTTTCGTGACTCCGTCGCATATAGTCTTTTTATGGTTCATCGGTTCATTTATTCTTCTCCGTGCATTGCATATAGTATCTATTCATTCGGTTTGAGTGCAGATATATTCACAATGCACTATTTCTATTGTTACTCATTCTATGGTACCCGATTTGAATGAGTGTGTGCCAGGAAATATTGTTTGTTTTACATTCCTAGGCACTGTTTCTTTTCCTTCAGTATATACTGCTTTTTTTTCCTTTTAGTAGTTCTAGGTATGCGTGGAGTCTTATCTTTTTAACCTTTATCATATTTGCCTCCAAGTTCACTGTAGTGATGGATGGTTCTCTGATTGCAACAATTAGAGAGTTTTAGTACTTATAACTTACCATCTTGTAGTTTTGAGTCTTCTTTTCTCGTATTGGTAGCATTACTTCATAATTTAATGCAATTTCTATAATCCGTCATGGCCATGAACCTTGTCTGACTTGAATGGTTTCTGCGGTTCTGTGATAGTTTGAGACTTTCAGTCAAGGCCTTCTGTTTGCTTAGTCCATTGCATCCTATTGGTTGGTAACAATTAAAATTGGAATTTGGCCCTTGCTTGATCATGGCATTTATTTTAAAATCAAGTTTGGGTTTGCATTTTTCAACTTCTTAAGTCTGTATCTGGGTTATTGTGAAATGTTTATCATTAAGGTTACATCTTGTTGTCGGTATGATTGTTGATGGTATGTTTCTACTCTTATCCTATTATCTTTGAAGATGCAGCTCTTGGACCAAATTTTTAAATTCATAATCAATTGCTTTGTCTTAAATATCGAAAACTAAGCTGTGGATGCTTATAACAGCGGTTTGACTGCTGATCCTCCTCGTCAATGGCATCAATCAACTTCAACCCATTTCAAAATTGGTTTGAGAAACCCTCAAACCCAATCCCAGCCATTAATCTCTTCTCCCGTGTAGAGTCAACATTCACCAGCATCCCTATGAATTTTGCTTCAATCAACATGTCAAAGCTCTTTCAGCAGCCCAAGAAGCAGACCACTGAAGTTGACAAGCCTGGCATGTACAAGGAACTAGCAGACCAATTCTTTTGGGAATGTGAGAACTTGCCCGATTATAGGCATGCCCCAGAAGTTGAGAAAATTTTAAGTGAAGATCCAATCTTTGAGAAAAAGGAGAACCCAAATGAAGAGGAAGTGAAAGAGAATGAGAAATGGTGGCAAGAGTTCCGAGCTAGCCCAGTGGTCCAGTTCTTGGCTCGAGCCGAGGAGATTGCGGACCAGATCAATGAAATGGAGCTTAAGGAGAATGACACTCCATTCAGAAAGGAGGACAAGAAGTTGTGGCAAGCATTGCCACATGTACCTGGGCCTGATGGTAGGCCCATGCCAAGAAAGACGATAAAGACAAGGAAAGAGAGTGATGACAAGTTTTGGGATTTTACACGGCAGTTCTTCTTTGGGCTTTGGGGGTTTCGGCAGCGGCCATACCCGCCTGGCCGACCCATTGACATTGCTCAAGCTATTGGGTACAAGAAGCTTGAGAAGCGCTACTATGATTGTAAGTTAAGATTAATTACAGTTATAGTTGAATTTTTATTTGATATATTGCTTGCAAAAGACTGGGTTTAATTTGCTTTTCAGTGTTTCACCAATCAACTATCCAATTGAGGAGTGTGTAGTTTATGCGTGATGCTGGGGATATATAAGGATATCTAGTTAGCTGTCTTTTAAAGAGACTGGACTGGTGACTTTAGACTAGTTCCATTACTCCATGGATGTATTTTTTTCACTTCTCTTTTAATCCTTCTTTTTTAATGAAAATCAATTGTGATTTTAAAGCCCAGGGTAGTGTTCTTATTGGTTTCCTTGACCTATGGTATTTCAGTTTATTCACCTTATAATTTTTTATTTGTTGATGTTAGTTATTATGAGGAGCAGTGGTTGGTACTATAAAGATAGGTTGGGTCGTACTCGGGGTCCATTGGAGCTCATAACTCTTAAGACAGCTTGGGGGGCGGGGATAATTGATAAAGACACTTTCATATGGGGTGAGGACATGGATGAATGGGCGCCAATTCACATGGTCTATGGCCTAGAGCGAGCAATTGCCACCTGGGAAGGTTTGTTGGATTTCCTTCTTTGTGGTTCTTAATCCATTCAGCTGAAAACAGAATTAGTTTTGTGGTATTACATTTTTGATCTGGTTTCCAGTTTTTGTGACACTTTGTGTGTATTACCTTCTTTGTGGTAACCCTTGTTGACTTTGGACCAATATTAGCACATTCATCCCTTTCAAAAAACATTGGGAAGATGCAGTTTACTTGGATATGGTTCTTTGCAAATATATATCAACTCTTTGCTATGGCCCCTTCTATACATTTTGTGCTTAAGCTTGAAAGCATTGAACTTGCAATTAGCTATGGTGGTTGTCTGTTGGAATGCAACTCTGATATTTACTAACTTTTATGCTTTGCCTTTTTTTTTCTTTTGGAGATGATATTTCTTAAGCAATATGTAGATTGATTTCTTATGTAACTAGATTGCATCTGCTGTCTGTATGAAGCTGAATGATAAATTTTGAAGGTTTAAAGCATATTGTTCAATGCAAGATACATTCGAATTAGACCTTCCTCTTTGTATTTCAGAAAATGAGAGTTAGCTGCATTGTGTTATCGGTGCACCACCTGCTTTAGTTTCTGATCATTTTTTTGGGGTATTCTGGTAGGCTGTTTATTGATAACTTGTCCTTAAAAATTAAAACTCATGTTTTGATTTAATTGATTTTTGTATTACTTGTCGGCCACATTCAGTTAGGCTTGGTGCTGCTGCAACAGCTTTCCTGCATAAACTTCAGAAAGGTATACCTCCTTGGGTTCCTCTTAAGGGGCATGAAAAGAAAACCTACAAGCAACTCCAACAAGAAGCAATAGAGAGTAAGAGACGTGATTTAGCAGTACTTGAAGCAAATGGTGGTGTGTGGCCTGGAGTTAGAACTCCTAGTCATGCCTTATTTCTTTGGGCTAGCGGCTCTGAATTGACAACCACTCTGGAGTCTGACCACATGCCAAATAAATATATTCCGAAGGATCTCAGGTATACTTTTTAATTTTTCTGCTTTTAATAACACTTTGCTTCTGTGTTTCAAAAAAAAAAATAATACTTTGCTTCTTATTGATGATTTGTGTAACGTCTGTCAACACCATTTCCTATCACTTCGAAGCCCCATTGCTTTTGTTAATTGTTGTTTTATTATCTGGAGCAGGCTCCAATTGGCTAAAATTATCCCAGGGTTAAGGCCATGGGAGGTTTTAAGTGTTGAGCAAGCTATGGATAAGATTACTTATGGGGGAGAGTGGTACCGTGAACCTCTTGGCTCTTACACAACGGGTCCTCCTTACATAAGACATTGGAATAAAGATGTTATGGTAC